AGAATCATGAATTCATTCATAGTAAACAATGCAAGAACTAGAATAAATTTATTTATTTATTTAAAGATTTCAATAAAAATAAAATACAATACAATTAAACAAAACAAAAGATATTCCAGTATTGAACAGATATTTTATTGAAGATTTATTTCACAAGAGATTTATTATTAGCATGAAAGAAATTAAAATTATTAAAAAATAATTTATTGTGCTTCTTTTCATTTTCAGCACATTTGTCAATCAAATTTATATATGACCCTAATCTTTTACTTACGTGTGAAACAAAAACAAGAATCGAATTGCTATAATTAGTATCAAATCAAACTGAAAAAATACCTACATTTATTTAATACTTACCTTTTATAATTTTTATATCTTCCACATAGATTAAAAATGTGTGCTCTCAGAAAAAGCCTGATATTTATCTTACGGATGATAATATTCGTCTCTTCGATACTCGGCTTCGTAGGCATATGCTGAAAACATCGAAGATACACCAATGAGATTTCATATGTTGTTGTGCATTTCAATATAATCAACACAAACACATAATCTCTATTTTGGTGGCCTTCGACATGCCCGATCGACCCAAAGCGTCGGTATTAAGCGACGATAGCAGGGTTTCGTTGTGATCGAAACACGCCGGAAGCCGGGTTCCTAACTCAAACATAAAAAGTTCGAGTCAATTCGAAGTACGAATGATCATTGCATAAGCAAACATTTCTCTAACGAGAGTATACGTTTCCAATCTGCCATCGAGTAGGTTGTTAAGCCGCCGAGCGTGTGCTTTTTTTGGCACAACACGCGGTTGATGATCAAAATTGGAATGCAGAAAAAAGACCGTCAAAACACGACTTTATATACTTAGTTTATGACAGTATTGCACAATCGTTTGTTAACAAATGATATGTGGGAAGAGCAGAACAAACAACAACAAAATTACTAAGTTGAAGTTGATAATGGTGCAATTTATATTTTTCTTTGCTTTCTATTGCATCTAAGTCACGGTATTGACATAACAAACTGTAACACAGATTCTTCACTTAACAAGAGAATGAAAAACAACAATGATCGTAGGCGTATATCAATAACAGCATTCTGACAAGAGAGTGGATGAAGAAATCATGGACTTTTAGATGTAAAAAGTCGCATAGAGTCTTTCAACTATCCATCATTATTGTTCAACTACGGACTATCGGATAGTATAGAATTTCGATGTGCATGCTCGGTAAATTTGGCTCATAGTTACATTACTAATTAGTGACCTTACGAAGGACAAAAAATAAGTGCTTTGAACAGTACATAGATATTCATTTTAAAGGAGCCAGATAGATGGAGTAGAACAAAATCTATAAAACTATGTAAAAGCGACTTTCTACGTTTTCTTCCTGAAAAAGTTATATGCATTCTAATAATAACGATGATAAATCTGTACCAATCATTTTCAGCATTTTTCTTCAAGAACTTGCATTTCAGTCGCATTACATATTCTGAATTATTATCTAACAGAATCACTCGTTTCGGACTCAGATGTGTCTTTATCTAGCCAATGTGCCAAAAAACAGATCGGATCACAATGTAGCAAAGTAATCTCACATTCAGACGACTGTTTCAATTGTTTCTATGTTTTGAGCATTGTATCAGAGTGTTCATAGAAGATCTGTTCGTAATTGTGAAACAGAGAATAAACCTTATCGGATATCAACGTTGAGCGATATTCAGTGATCATTTTGAACTTGACTAAAACGAAAATGTCCTCAGAGTATGAGATTACTGTTTTTTCCTTGTGATATAATGTGCTTGTTAGCACATCGATAAGGCAAAGATAGTTCTTATTCCAAAACAAGCACTTTTGTTAGATAGAAAATGATTTAAAATATGCAACGTGGTTGAAAAAGAAGCCATTGAAAAATATTCAAAATGACTGCTATGGAAGTCTTATCATCATTATTAGAATATATATAACTTTTCAAGAAAAACAAACACAAATATGTTAGATTTGCGCAGTTTTCTAGATGTGGATCTACTGTATGTATCTAGCTGGTTATAAATGAAGATTGATATAATATTCAAAACACTTTTTTTTGTTTTCTCTGAGATTACTAACTAGCAATGCAATTATTCATCAAACTTATTGAATATATCATGGAAGAATGGGATAACTACAGCACTCTATCTTATTTTTGTAAAAAGTTATTCGAAGAATATTCAGATGCTGTGTTTTGTTGTAATCGGTATTAATTTTAGAATGATACTGATAACAGAAGAAAGAAAAAAACCTTTTTCATAATGTCAACAACATGATATAGTAGCACTTATTATTGATACTTATCAATGTAATGTCCACAAATGCACTGGTTTTGTTTTCATTTTCACCTCGATTTACCTTTGTCAAATAATCACAATACATCATACACAAGTAGTGTAAATACCAGTTTTTCCTTTCAAATATCGTCTTCTGTCATATAGGGGTGAAAAGACATTATTATTTGTAGAGAAAAGTTCTTAATTCAAATCAATTATTCAGTTTTGGGCTATTTATTTTGTTCATTGCTAGTGTTGGATGTTAAGCAGTTGGCTACTTTGATATGGGGAACATATTAGAGTCATTAAAAAAATCCGTATTTCGTCGTCGTGAAGCAAACCACGTTAATTCTCGTTCCGAACCGGATAATCCGGAGCGTCTTCCTGTGGAACAATTAACGACAATTGAAGATGCTGCACAAGAACCTAATCCACTACCAATATTAACAACAACAATACACACAGTGGCTTCATCAAACGTATGTAGTGCTTTTTATTTGGCATGTCGTCGCGACAATTTTGAAGAAGTGCAAAAGTTACTTGAAACCATGACACTTGAGGATGTAGATCGAATAGAACCAAATGGTAGCACGGCATTGCATACTGCATGTTACCATGGTCATCATAACATCGTAAAGTTGTTGTTGGAAGTAGGAGCTAACAGAGCAATACCGAATAATTATAATTGTTTACCATATGATGAAGCGAAGAATGATGAGATCAAAGAACTTTTTCTTCGTATACCGAATAGTGATCGACTTGTATCGAACACTGGTGCTATTGAATGGGAATTAATTGATAATGATGCTTTGGAAAAAGCAGTGGAAGAACGACATTTTATTAAATCATTGTATGATAACACTACGA